GGGGTCAGCAACAGAAGAGGCGGGGCCGGTGATGGAGGAGGCGGGCCCTGCGACGGAGGACGGAGCGGGCCTGGCGACGGAGGAGGGAAGACGGAGGAAGAAGAGGCGGACAGGTAAGGAGTGTGACCAGCCCACCTGAGGGTGACCCTGCAGAGCCCACCATAGACTCTCAGGTGAGCTATGTGGGCTCTTCAAGGGGTGTAAATAGAAATCACAGGGCCCCATACAAAATTTTGCTATTGGGCCCTGTGATTTCTAGTTACGCCCCTGCACACTTGTATTGCAAAAGTTGCCTAACATATGTGGCCAGTTTTAGGAATGTTTCAAATTCAGAATTGCTGTAGGCTCCCGCCATTTGCCCCCGCATACATGGTAAAAAAATCTGTATACCTACCTCCTCGGCTAGGTCCGATGAGGTCACAGGTCCTCTTCATCCTCTTTGCCCTCTTCTTCCTCTGCTGGTGGGCAGATCCTAAATGCTAGAAAGAGCAGTGCCATGTAATGACACCACTACTCCGCAGCATTCTCCTGTGATTCCAGGACGGGGAGGTGACACCCTTGGCTTACAGGAAGTGGGTTAAATGGCACTGGGCATCCTTCACCCTATAAGAGGAGTGTGCTGGATCCCTGAATGGTTGAGTTTGCGGGAGACAGTTCTAGGGATAGGGTGAGCAGAGCAGACAGAGAGACAGAGAGATGCGTTTTTACTTTTAACTACTGATAGAGTTTTTGCTTAACCACTTGAAGTCCGTGGTGTTTCACCCACTTCCTGTCCCGGCCATTTTTCAGTGTTCAGCGCTGCAAGTACTTTCACTGACATTTATTCCGTCATGCAACGCTGTACTGATACAAATTTCTTACCATTTTTTGGGGACAGATAGAGCTTTCTTTTGGTGGTATTTAATCACCACTGGGGTTTTTATTTCTTACTATATAACAAAAAAAGTACAGAATATTTTGAAAAAAAACCCTGTTTCCCTATTGAAATGTTATCAAAAAAATTATTATCACCCCAATTTTTTGGTAAAATATAAAAGTCGGGGTCACATCGGGTAAATAGACACCAAACATGTCATGCTTTAAAATTGCAAATAACAAATCGCAGAAAACGACCATACCCACAATTGGCTATAGGCGACGCTTTAAACGCTTTTACCGCTCATCAGTTTAGTGTTATCAGTGAATGATGGCCCTAGAACTATTGCTCGCACTGCGACGTTCGCGGCGATATGTAACATGTGCGCCGTAATGGGCCGAACCGTCGT